CCTGCGCAAGGATGACACGCACAAACCGAGAAGTGTATGACCTACACTTTGGCTATGCGGCTATGCTGACTTTTCAAGTCTTCCACTCTCACACCCTCATGTCAGAGCGCCCTGCATGGCTACTGAAGGCCTAGAGGAGCTGGATCGTGCAACGGAAGAGTTGGCTCATTTCCAGAGCTTCCTCATTCCCAGACGGCCACTCCCGCCCCCTCGACGAACAGCCAAGCATACACAGAGACGCCACAAGCCAGGAAAACTCCGACAGGAGCAAGTGGCTAAGTGGCACAGAGGCCAGGGCAAGGGTTCGCTACAAAGTCCTACAGGAGGACAGCCTGGCAGTCATGCAATTGGATTGCCAAATGGTGATCTTCATGAAGAACAAAAGCCAACAGGAAGATCAAGGCATGGACTGGAGCGTGACTTCTCAGTTTCTGACAGTGGGCAATCACTGGCGCGAGACCAAGGAGAAAAAATCCGAAGAGCTAGGGCCAGCCGGTTCGTGCGATTCTGTTTAGCTCTTGGCTTACAGCGATCAAGTTTCGGATCCAGGAGCTTTCCTCCAACTCAAGCGTGAAGGAGCAGGCCTCCAAGATGGGAATTCTGGAAGGGGAAGCCTTCCCATACCTTCAGTGGAGTCCGGAAGATAACAAGCACCTGAAGGCCGCTCAGGATCCGCTATCCATCACGGATGCCATGCAGGTTCTGGATCAGTTGCAGCAGCTGATCATACACCCCAACGTCATCGAACACTTTCACCCTCTCAAGAAGCTCATTCCGGATATGGCTTCGGATGTCATCCCGTGGACGCTAGAAATTCAAAACCGAACACAGGAAGCTCAGGCCACCTACCAGCTGGTACGCAGATTCGTTCGCAATGTATGAATTCACCTAGTGGCGTCCACTCTGCGCCCCTCCAAGCTGGGGAGGAGTTCACTTGCAACAGCAGTGGATCGCATGATCCAAGACTTTTAAGGCCGGGTAGGCGCAACATACTTCATCTTCAGCTGAGCATCCCTGGCAACTATTGCTATGCCAATAATAGCTCTACTATAGGCCTCAAGCTGTGCACAGGCTGGTCTGCAAGTCAGACACAATGGGCTTCATAACTTCTTGCTGTGGCTGAGCACTGAGCAGAAGCCTCAGCCTTTGTAGCACACTTTTGCATGGCAGTCCCTGACCTCAAAGCGGCCTCAACCTTTGAGACAGCATGACCCCGCCGAGTTTTTGCAATTCCTTCAGCCCATGTTTTCCGATGGCAGCCTCGAAGGCCACTGGCAATCCCGGATCTGTGATCCTAAACAACCTCTTGCTCATCAGTAAGTGGACAGTGGACATGCGTGGCCCATACCTTTGATTGCAGACTTAAGCTCGGACAGCCCATACACCATTCAGGAACTCCTTGCTAGATGGCATGCACAAGCCCAGGTCCATGGGCTCACTGATTTGCCGGCCTTCTTGGCATTGCAAGTTGAAAGGTTTGATGACATGGGTAATGTATGTAAGGGAAAGATACAGGGTCCTTGGCAAGTATCATTTCCTCACTTCCCTCAAGGCGGCATTGAGGTCGAATACTCAACCTACCAAGTACGCTCAATTCTCTACCATACTGGGGATACTCTCTTGCAAGGCCACTAGAGGGCAGTCCTGCTCGAGGAAGGTGCCATGAAGTGTGTCACAGAGGATGGTAAGCGTGCCGCTAAAATCAAGCCCAAAGGGATACCCCTGGTACTCTCCAAGCTTTACCTACTGATTTTCGGAAATGCAGCTCTCTCCAGTAGTTTGCCAAACTTGCTTGTGGGGCATTTGAGCCGGAGTTTGGCTATGGAGGAATACCCACCAATGCTCCAAAGGAGTAAGACCGCATCGCGAACTCTCTCGCAGCGAGTGAAGAAGAGGATCATCACCATCATCGTAATTATCATCACCCTTTGCTTGTTGTCGTTCGGCATCAGTGTGGGTTTCTGAAAACAGCCTTTCAATAAAGTTTGATGAGCATTGTGGACAACACGATAGACAGGGTTCCACCGAAGCCCTCCCTGTCCGCCATCGGCGCCTGCAGAGAAGCCCAAATCCAGCACTAAGAGAGCTTGACTTGGCACGCAACACGCGAAAACACAGATCGGCCACTTGGCACCACACCAAATTCATCCTGCCCTTTCGCTACCGGGATTATAGCTATGGTACCATATAGCAAGCAGGCACGCCGGTGCGGGGGGATAAAACATGTCGCCAAATGCTGCAGCGCAATCGGCCGACATACACACGACATGCACCTGCCCTCAGGATCAACCTCCAAGTTACGTGCCAGACATGTTTGGCAATGTCGGTATTCAGCCACCTTTAGTCCGCCGCGGTCTATCTCCGAGAGTTTCTCAACTAGCCAGGGTGCCACCCCCACGCCGTCAAAGGCGAGGGGCAACACAATGAGATCATAAGCCTTGGGGTAGCGAGGGTGGACTGTTTGGCTCGCTTGTTGAGCAGGCCGCCTTACCCAAGGGCGAGGACATCAAGGCACATGCATCACACGAGAAGGGTTGAGTTTGGCTCCCGATGCCATAGAGGGCGACGGTGTCGCAGGTGCCGAGGTGCCGCTACCACACCCCATCAGCAGTGGTGGTAGTATAGCAAAGGGGGCGGTGATCGGGGTCGTCGATGCAGTGGCTAAGCGTCTCCAGCCCGGCCCAAAGTTTGCTGGCTGTAGGATTTGCGGCATCGACGACGAAGTCCGCTTTAGCTCAAGATCATAGGAGGTTCCTGCCTAGAAACAACGCGTGCTGCAGCTGCGATGCCCGCCAGCATCATGCTACACAGCACACACGTGTGCTAACACACAACCCGTCCATGCACCTGTGTGAAGAACCTCCGTTCTGGGGGCTTAAACATCTTGAACTGTTTGGACCGAGAGTCTTGTTCTGCTGCTCCACATGGGCCAGTCGTGAGGCAAGTGTTGCGACCAAACTCTCGTCAGTGGAGTTCTGCCGGCGCACCCTGGCCTCCAAATTGCATGAGGAATGATGCTGCTGGAACATGACAGTACCTCGGCACCTGCATTGCGCCTCTGCTGGGCCAAGAGCGGCCACTCCAGCTGCTTGAAGTCTCGGTACGGGCGGTCGCGAACCTGAACCCGAAAATGTAGTTTGCCCTGCTCACGCATTGCTGCTGGTTGTGTCGTGGTCGGACACGGCACACAGCAACGGCATTTTCTTCAAAGGAGTCTTGCCGAGGGTAAGGCGGCATGCGCACTACTTGAAAAATGCTTGCTGCTGCATGCCGCTAGGGTGCATCTCAACTTCCGTCATCTCACATCACATGACACTCCTGATATTATCAAGCGCCTCGTCTACCAGGAGCAAGAGCTTCCTTTGACTCGATTACGGCGTGGTCCTGGTGTCATGACACTTTTCAGCAGTCCAAGTTCCAGACCTTACAGCACTCTTGAAGAATTGGAATGCGCTTTTTCCCCCCTTGTTCCTGCAGAACGGCTGATGCAACGGATCGTTGCACTTGTGGCTCAAGGGACTCAGCCTCCCCCCTGGCTCCTGCTACCGTGCTTCATTCATTCAAGCGCATTCAACATGATTCAACAAACGACAACCTGAACAGGGAAAAGCCTCGGACTGAAAAGGGCAACTGCCGAGCATCACCGCTCTTCATCGCTTGCCCATGTCCATTTGGCAGCAGATGGATTCATCTCAGGCTGTGTTGCATGCAAAGCTCCACCAGACACTTTGCACAGGGTCGCAATAGAGGCGATCAAAAAAATCATAGTTGTCATCTTACAGATTGCAACAGTTTGACCAAATTGCAAAGCTACTCGAGGCACCTGAAGCCGATTGTGCAGCAATACTTCTTGCCCAGAAAATGCAGCCTGCAGTTCCATGTCAAGCGGCCAGCCGCTGGGCATTAGGAGATATACCATCCTTTTTGTGTGCTCGCGCGGCAGAGCTCGTCGAATCGTCTCACTCTGACAAGAAATAAACTTGCGCGATCCCAACCTGAGTTGACAGGGAATGCTAGGGCCCTGCATGAGAAGCTCAAGGACGCCATGTCTTGAAGTAGTTCTTTTGAGGCCGTAGCAATGGCACCGAGGACGCCGCCAAGCAGGATCAGGATCCACCTGGGTTCTCGTCTAGACTAACTAGTGCCTGGGTCCAGACAAGTACATGTCAAAGCGAAGGCACCACTCTTCACGAGCCGATATGGAGAGTAGGGGGCATTCTTGCACGTGACCAGCACTAAAACGTTTGTCTCGTCTTATGTATCCTGCGCTCTGTCAGGCGCATGCTTGACAACCCTGTTGAACTGATATTGTTACTGCTTTCTGTGTATCACATCGACTCCGACGACGACAACAACTACGACAACTAGTTAAAACTAGTCCTACATGGGATGGTAAAAATCCTGCATGACCCAGCAAACCAGCTAAGGCGGCGAGGATGAAAGACTCCCCACACCCCTCAATCTCAATGTTGGCAAGAGGCCAGGGGGTCATGCAGGATTTCTATCATTTGCGCACGCCCTGTTTGCTCTGCCAAAGGGACCAATACTAAAATTAGGGGGCTATGGGGGAGCCGGCCTGTCTGTAAGAATCGATGCAGGATTTTTAGTATCAACGGTATGAACTAGCGCTACGAGCAGGAGAAGTAGAAGGAGGAGGAGTAGCAGAAGTAGAAAGAATAATGATGATGATCATGCTGATCATAGTAGTCGTCGCTCGTCGTAGAAGCAGCGGCAGTCGCAGCAGCAGTGATGGATGACAGCAGCCTTGCAGTACATGGCCGTAGGACACAAGCATCAGCAAGCAGGAGGAAAGCAGTGATTTCCATTCAACCCTTTTTCACGCATTGCAAATTGCTCCTACTTGCATTATCATTCGCAGGGGATTGCAGGGGAATCCCAGCTCTTCCTTTTATCCTCCTCGCGTTTGCCCACACTGAGACAGCCGCTCGTCTTCTTGGAAGACGGGGTGCAAGAGCCGTTCAAACTCATCCGGCGGCCTGATTTTCAAGATCTACAGCATGGCCCTAACAGCTTCTCCAGGCCCCAAACATTTTTTGCATGGCCACAGCATTGGACCTGTACCAGGCTGTCGGAGGAGAAACCCATGAACAGCTAATGCAGAGCCCTGCGTGCCTGAAGACATCGGTCGCGATGGCCAGGTACTGCGAAGCCTGAGTTGCGACATTTTGCAACAAAAACTGTGATCACCAATCTGCGCTGCTACTGGCCATGTCACCAAGGCCAGGTCCGCCTGCTGTAATTCATCGTTCTCTGCAATGCGCTCTGCAGATGCCTTAGACCATAAAACAGATCCTGCCAGAGTTCGTTGTACTATCAGCCAGCAAGCACCGTGGTTTGCTGATACCGACACTGCTTTCGGAGGCTGAAACTCATCCTGTTGACAAATGACGAAATTCCCACACATTCCCCCACGAGCGCCGGACACCAACCAAGTCATCCTGCGACAGACACGGTCATCATACTGTAAGAGTCTGAGCTAAGACGAGACTTGACAGGCACCGAGGGCCGCTGGCAGCCGTGCCCACAGCATGATGTTGCTATCTAGCTTTAGCTGAAGCAGGGGTGGGTTGAGGCCGTAGGTGATGTTGCCAGACAGTATATAATGCAGGACACACGACGAACAGGAAGCCAAGGGCAAGAAGTTTCGGAATGACATGTTGCACGTGCTTGAAGCAAAAACTTAAGAGAGAAAGGTGGTTCGGAGAATTCCATGGTGGCCCACGCATGAGAAGCCCTTTCACAGATCAAAGAGAAGGCGGGACGTTTGAGGGCATAGGTGCTGGGCGAGTCCACTGTGCTTACAGGACCTGAGACTAGGTTGAGCCGCATCGTTGCGGTTGAATATCGCCATGCCATCATCGCAACAGGTATGACCAGCATGAGGCCAGGAGGGGGGAAGAAAGACCCAACAGGACAGCAAGTATCGAGGCAAAATGTGAACGCAAGCGATGCCGTGACCGCAGCTTCAGCCTGCGGCCCAAACTCAAAGATGATGCCTGCTGCATAGGGGGATTTGCACAGCAGACGTCCTGCGGGCTGCACACCCGTGCCAGGAATCGGGAAGGACTTCTCGTTGACTCATCTCAGAGTCCAGTCTTGATGGAGCGGTTTACAAGTGCTCATTCAAGTGCTACCACCAAG